TGAAAAGATTAATTGAGTTTGATTAATGATTCCTTGACATATATAATTAATTTCTTTTAAAGTTGTAATGAGTTAAAGTATTCCTATATTTTAAATTTGTGCTTAATAAAATATTGATGTTTAGAAAAAATAAATTTAATTATCTTAATATTTGTTATTATTTATATTTTATTTATCATTAATACATTTAAGATCCATTAAAAAAATAAATATATTTATGATATAAAATTTTATTATTTTTTTAATTTTTTTAAAAAAATTATAAATATTTATCTTTACAAATTTAAAAATATGAACATATATCACATGCAATTTATTGATGAGTAATTTATTTAATTTAAATTTATATTACTGTGGGTTCAATTAGTTAACAAAATATTAATAGATTTATTATAATTCAATATGATAAAATAAAAAATTATTTTATTATATCACTTTAAAATAATTAAAAAATATAAAATAAAATATTTGAAAATAATTTTTTTGAAATAAAAAACTATTAATATAAAAAATATTTACACTTTCAAATAATTCCTAAGAGTTAATATTATTGCAAAACACAAAAAATAATGTTAAATAATAAGAGCAATATTGAAAATTTTTTAAAAGTTACGTAAAAATTATTTATATACGTAAAGATAAATTTTTTTAATTTATCTAATAAAAAAATTAATGTAATAAAAGTTAATTTTTCATTTAGCAAATTTTTATTAAATAAAATTTATAATTAAACAATAATTATTTTTTTCTCTTTCTTGTCAATTATTTGATCTAATGGCCATTATTAATGTCACTCACTTCTTATAATACAAACTCCTTCAACTTAAAATGCTTTATATATATATATAACAACATGTATATAATAAGTTTTTATTAGAATGTAAACATTTATAATAAATTAATAACATCAAATAGTATAATTTTTAAGAATATTTTTATTTATTATTTTCTTGTATATGGCTTTTAACATTTTAAAAATTGATAAATATACAACAACTTTAAAAAAAAATACATTAAATTTAAAAAATTAAATATATATTCAATATAAAAACAGTCTCGGAAGTAAAAACAAAAAGTAAAAGTTAGATGACGTAAAATTAAAGACACAACTTTAATGCATATGAATAGATATATCTAAATTTCGTGTTTGTGAATACGCAGTAGAAACGAGGAGTCTGGTTGTCTACAGTTTTGAAATATAACTTTAAAAAATCCCAATTATAAAACTATATTGTAAAATATGATAACAAAAGTTGGAAAACTATCTTATTTTATAAATATGCATTTTAACTGCTGCCGAATGTAGTCCTTCTATTAAGCAATATTTCTTTCTTGACACTATTTATAGTAACTTTGGATGTGGATATTACATTTGTAGCGATTTTATTTTCAATAAGCTATAGAATATCATTATACAGGTAGAACACTAAACTAATTAGTACCCATTGACGTTTGATCCAAGCCTTTAACTGTTGACAATGGATTCACGTTCCCTTCAAGCTTTGATAGTGTTGTTAGATGATTATTTCTTTCTTCTTGACATTTGCAATAGTATGATCAGGATTGAGCAACATTGGCAATGTCCACGTAGTCAAACGATGTTCACTTATTCTTTGTTCAAAGTCAAAGGAACTAATCTCTTTCTGTGTTCTTTTCAAAATAAAATTACGTTTCACTTATATTTTAATGGTCTTACAGTAAGGTGTTCTTAGTAACTGATGCCTACATATTTATGATTTGTTGATCTTTCAGGACCGACAAAACCACATTTCAGTGTTCAGAAAAGCATGTTACACCCTTGTTCCTGTTGTATTTTTATCTGAATCTTTGCGCTTTCCAAGTATAAATCCGACAGGGAATAACCCTTCAAGTGAGCAGTGAATACAGTGCAGATGGAGCTATAAAGTCATGTGTGTAACTATTTTTTCAGTCTCTGCATTTTATTATAAAAATTAAATTAATGTAATCCGATGCGTAAATTAATAATATAATACTACACTTTTTTATCTTAATGTTACACATATATAATAAATAATACAGTTAATTTGTTTCTCTCTCTTGTAAAATCGTTTTGTTAAATACACAATATTTGACACTTGTGATCACCTGGACAAATAATTTTTTGGAGAATCAGCACATACATGAGACATAGCAATGGAAATAGTTTCATGGGGGAGCATGGTCCACCCACGTTACTCATATATCCGAACAAAAAACAAGTTTGGTAAGGCACTCTTTTCGGTTGACGATAGTCATGCTCAATAATTGAACTTCAAGGTTTTGTATCAGCAACTTTACAACACAGCAACTTTACAACATTAAAATTATATCATGCCAAAATACAAGTTTTGCTTGCAGATATATAATTGAGTAGACACGTATTCTCATATTTTTACCCGAGATGCGTTATTTTCATATAATTTTATTTAAGCGCACCATTTCCCTGTCTACGCTTATGTATACCAATATCTCAGTTTACTTAAAATCTTTGGACACATCTTAATTAAGATTGGAGTTGCTCATTCTTTCCGCAGACTATCTTATCTACTCACATATTCAATTTTTTTTTATATTAATTATAGGTTTGTATCATTAGCTTGAAAAAAAAAAAACAAATGAGAAGGACAATGAAAGGAAAAAAAAAGCTATACCATGCATGCTTGCACTTTCTTGGACCACAGTCCACACATAGAAGCTAAAGGAAGGAGAAAAGAGCGATTTTGTTGTTGTTGTTGTGTTTTCTTTTTTTGGCTTCGTGTAGAATCTACTTCTTGGCCTCTAGTTTTTGCCCATTCCTCTCCAATCTCCAATGCCAGTTTTTTCTTCCATATCAAAAAATTAAAGCTTCTCCCGTATGAAAAGAGCGATTGTACGTCGATAAGTGAAATCATTATCCTTTATAACTTTATAAAGGACATTAGAAAAAAGAGAGAGAGAGAGAAATCATTGTTCTTTATAAAGGACCATAATATGTGCTTTTCAGCTTTATCAATATTTGGTATCCATGTTTAGTTACCTACCTAAAGAACACTAACGTTTATTAGGGAAAAAAAAGAAAAAGGAACTATTACGTTCTTGCTCTGATTTTATTTGCACTAGTTATGCTTAATCAATGGAAGCCGTTGAACATGCGTGAACAGTAGATCTAGTTATGGTAGGATGTCAATCCGAGCGTATCACCTTGGTGGGCCAGGTTGTAATGTAGTTTGGTCTTATTTTATGAATTGTGGATTATTCCGGAGATGAGTGGTTACTTTGTATTTAATTATATTGAAGTCTAAAGTATTAATTTTAAATAGTTTATATTAAAAAGTAAAGTTTTAAATTAATAATACTCAATAGAAATGAATATTCCGTTTAAAACAAAATTTAAATAAGCTCAAGATAAACAATTTAATAATTATAATATATAAATTTATAGGTTGTTAGGATGCGTTACACGCTAGTCTTTCTTGAGTAAAATCAAATTGAACAAGAATTATTTTTAATTTTATTTTATAAATATTTGGGTTAAGTTGGTTTTGAAGGAGATCTTGATGCCTCCAGTTTGTCAAAATGGGCTAAGTTGAACATATCGACCTATTTAGCTTGTTTAAAATTACGTGTTAGGATTTAAAATTTTGAGTTTAATTGAACTTTGTTTTAACTTGACTCGACTCAAAATTTAGTTGATCGGAAATAGGTTATTTGGAGTAGGTCGACCTAGCCTAGTGACCCATTTATTTTTTATAAATATTAGTTTATTAGTTTTAACTTAAATTTATTTATTAAATTAGGTTAGACTTTAGATTTAAGCTTAACGAAACTTGTAAAGAAAGTAGACAAGTGAATTGACCTTTTAGTTCATAACTCACAAAAAGATAAAATTTTAATTTGCAATTAAATTAATGTAACCCAATTCGACCCAATAATGAGCGAACTTGGATAGATTGGACAAAATCGTTTTCACATTCCTAACTACATGTTCACATAGTAATAGGCTAATATATTAGACATTTGGTCTTGAATTTGAGTATTTAATTTCCTATGACAAAGTATTTCTTGTACCTAAAAATGAATGACCAAAAATTCCAAATTTAAAATAAGAAGAGAAGCGAATTTACCTTTTAGTCCAAGACTCGCCAAGAATATAAAATTTTAGCCTACAATTAAATAAACATAACCCAATTTGACCCAGTAAAGAGAGAACCTAAATAGACTGGACAAAATCGTTTTCACATTCCTAATTCCATGTCCACCGGTAAAATATGTTGCACTTTCTTAGGAATCTTTGAAAAAGTTGAGTGATTAGGCAAATATGCAACAAATTAACAATATGAGGAATCAAGAGAGTTTTGCGCACTGCTGATTCAATTAACCTTGCAACTTTTGCTGGGCATACAACTCCAATTATGAGGAATCTAGCGAGTTTAGCTTACAAACAACTCAAATAGGTTTGTTAAGCAATCTCCACAAAATAACAATCAATAACTCTTTCTATTTGCAGTAAACAGTGAATTATCTTGAGGCTAGAAATAGTATTAAAATAATTAGGCAACTGTATTTCATGTGATCTACTAATGTATCCCAAGTTCCATGGCATACAAGAGACAAGTTGCAAAGCCCATGCTTCCAAAGCTGAAAGATGAGAGAGAGAGAGGGTGCCCCGAGTTACAATTCAAATGGGAGAGTCTAATCGTAGTCAACAGGACAATGAGTCTCTTATCCCTTATGGAAGAATCTCACTCTCTCCTTGAAATGCAAATTGCAATGAATGGGAAGAGAGAGAGAGAGAGAGGGTCCCTCAGTGGGCAGAACCTATAACAAAAAAGAGGAGCTATTGGAGAAGACAAATGTTACAATCACCAACACAAAACACGCTCCCAACCCTATTTCCATACACGTGAGTCATCAAACAAGCAGCAGCATCCAAAACTCCACGCACCCTCATCCGCACCTCATCAAACCCCAAAACAAACAAACAAATAAATAAATAAATATCTCAACACAAAAATATATATAAATTAAAAACAAAACATCCCCCCACCCTCTCCCTCTCTCTCTCTCTCTCTCTCTCTCTCTCTATTTTTCTGCTTTTCATTTCTGACACACTGACACAAAATGGAGAACTATCAGTACCCCTCCTACCCAGATTCCGGCGACTCCTCGCCGCGTTCAAGGGAGATCGACTTCGAAAACCCGCCGCCGTGGGACGAGCAGCAGCAGCAGAACCAGAACTACAAAGCCAAGTTCATGTGCAGCTACGGCGGCAAGATCCAGCCACGCACCCACGACAACCAGCTCTCCTACGTCGGCGGCGAGACCAAGATCCTTGCCGTCGATCGCAACATCAAGTTCCCCGCCTTTCTCTCCAAGCTCGCCGCTCTCTGCGACGCTACGCCGCAAGACCTAACTTTTAAGTACCAACTCCCCGGCGAAGACCTCGACGCGCTCATCTCCGTCACCAACGACGACGACCTTGAACATATGATGCACGAGTACGATCGCCTCTATCGCCCTTCTTCAAAACCTGTTCGGATGAGACTCTTCCTTTTCACCCTTTCTTCTAACCCTAATTCCTCTTTCTCTTCCGATCGTGATCGCTTCGTTGAGGCTCTTAATTCGGCTCCTCTTCCTCCCCAACCCGACCCGGTTAAGAACCCGCCCGTTCCTCCTTCTAACGTTGATTACCTCTTCGGTCTTGATAAGGCTGTCGCTCCTCCGCCTCATCCTCCTTCCTTTGCCGCCGTTAAGTTCCACGATCCTGTGCCTGAGCCTGTCGCACCGCCGCCGGAGTACCAGTCTCGCGGAGGGGCCGTTGATCGGGTTGTTGGATCGGATCCGAATGTGAACCCGATTGAGATTCAGAGGCAGTTGCAGCAGGAGATGCAGCGTTTGCAAATCGCGGAGAGTGATTATCGGAGGAGGAGTGAGGATGGATTTGCCGGAGGATATGCTGGTGGCGGCGGCGGTGCTGATTATTACTTGCAGAAGCTGCCGGAGAAGGTACCGCCGTCTAATTCGCCGGCTGGTGTTCCGCATCCCGCGGGGTACTGGCCGGAGAAGCAGTTTTCGGGCGAGGGTTTTCAGACGACGATGACAACGGCTGCAGGTGGAGGGGACCAGCCGGTGTATGTGATCCCGGCACCGGGGACGTTCTACCACGCGCCAATGGTGCGTCCTCCGGCGGCGCAGGTGACTCAGGGGTACTACACGGTGCAGAGAATGGGTTCCGATGCTTACCGTGAACAGCCGGTTTACGGAGGCGTCGCTCCCCCGAAAGCGGCGTTTTCGTCTGCGGGTCCTGCGAGCATGGCACCGGCTCAGCCGGTCAAGGCTTCCGCGTACGCGGAAGGATACGGCGTCGTTCGGCCAGCTGGGGTGCCCGATAATGCGGCTTACACGCAGGTGGCGTATGATAGTGCGAGTGGGAGACAGGTTTACTATACTGCGCCGGGAGGGGTGGTCCACGCGCCCCCTTACCAAGGAGTTCCACCGGTGGTTAGTGCGGACGGGAGACCGGTTGGAGTTTCGTTGGGCCAGGATGTTAAAGTGGTTAACAAGGTTTCCCAAGGTTCTGTGTGATTATAGTTGTGATTAAGATTGTGATTATGTTAATTTTGAAATAATACACTAAATATGTTTTGCTCTTTTTTCCATGGTTTATATATATAATACCAATATTGTTAGCTAATAATATTATGCTTATTGTTTTAATATCCTTCTATCTGCTGATTAATGTTTGTGTTTTTTTCTTTCTTTTTCTTACTCCCATCTCTAATTATATTCTAGGTTGAGTTACCAACGTTTATAGTTCAGTTGAGAATCAATTTGTGCCTCGGGGGTTTTGTAGTTGGGAGTTGCAAAGGCTTTTATGTTTTCATTTTACTTGAGAATTACCAGGACTTGAATTTAGAATATGAACTAACCTCACAAGTCACAAGAATACAAGATTCTCATATTTGAATCATCAATGTCAGTTTCCTGCTATCGGTTCCTTCTCGTCCTACTGCCAACCATGATGATCAAATTTAATTCATTACGAATGTTTGCATCTACTTTAACTGATTTTATCGCAACATAGGAGCTTTATAATTGGCGTGCAGTCGCCAAATAACGAAAAAGGCCTAAATGTACTTTTTTATATTTGAAAATATGTGTTTTTTTACTTATTTAATCTTTAAGAAAATATAAATTTATGTATTTTTAGTTTTGATGAGAGATTAAAATTATATTTTATTCTTAACTATAATAATTAAAAATGTAAAAGTCATTAAAATTCTTAAACAAGACATCGTTGTGTTTCTAGAGATTAAAAATGTATTTAAATAAAAAAATTGTTCACACAATCCAACCTTTTAAAAATTGATATATTGTTAAAGAGAGAGTAGTAAATTTTGATGCAAAAAGTGTGGCAAGTCTACGTCTGGAAATTGAAAGTTTTGTCCGAGTCTCAATCATCTTTCAACTTAAACACTTGAGTGTGTGCATGAGTAGGCACGCAAGGGAACAAAAATGTAGCAATCACATATTTAATACAGTGTGACCAATTAAGATAATTTCGGATCCCACCTTTCCTTCCCCAACTAATACCATCGGTTGGCGAGCATCGAGGGTTTTGGTAGATCAGATGTTCCCATCCAAAATCACATTCATTTTACGGATAATATTAACGACTGCATTTTTTTTATTATATTATATTATTTTATAATAAAGTAAATAAAATACTAGTATTTTATAAAGCAGATACCTTATTTTATCTCGCTTAAAGACACAGAGAACCGTTAAAAAAGTTATAATTGAAGTGATGCAATAAGGGGGAACAATGGTAGAAAATAAATAAATAAATAATCGTGTAAATATATGAATTAATTCTATTATTTAAATGATTGAGAATTGATATTAAATGTTGCATCATCCTAAAATATTAAAATATAAAGTGAAGAAAATTTAATTGTCGCCTAAAATTGTTTGAAAAAATATAGTCGTACGTGAATATAATTGTTAAGTTCTCCAAGACGAGGCGTGCATTTTCTCTAGAATCAATTGCCCACTATATAGTCCCCACCACATCTTCCTTTGAATTTAAGAAGGGTCAGTCTCCACTCATCTTTCCTCCAAGTTTAATACTTGGTAACATGATATGGCGAAATATTCTTATACCCGATGGAACTATAAAATTAGGAAAATATTATGTATAATTATACTTTATGTTATTAATTTTAGGAGCGTATTTTTTAAATATGAGCACATATAAAAAAAGATAAAAACAATTATACATATGATTAATTATGTGGTGTGTAATAAATAAACTGTAAGTCACTAGGAGAGGACATCTTTACATATATCTAAATGTAAAATTCACATATTTTAAACAGGGAAAAAGGAATCTTTACCTTTAAATCTTGTATCTTTTTCTTATTCTTTTTTAATCTTAAAAGCAAGGGTGGGTATATTTCATGGCTTCCTCGTGTACGGAAGAAACACTCCGGCGCGGCGCAATCTATGTTGGAAAAGTGTAAGGAGTTGTTTTGTTTATGACATTATACATGCAAGATACCAATGGACCACTAACATCAACATATGCCTGACTAAGTTCGTGAGTTAATTAAACCCTTTTCAATTGCAAGTTGCAACCACAACTACCTTCACCTTGTCTAGTTTTACTATTGCCTTTTTAAAAATAATACCCAATTGGTTCGATTTGTATTGCAAAATCTACTCCTTGATTTCCAAGCATTTAATGAAATTGTTTAATAGAATTGGTTGAAGATATGTAACTGATAGGGTATGTTACCTTTATTTTATGTATTTGTGATCCCTTCGGTCCAATCAATACGTTGGATATTGATTAACCTCATCACTGAGTAGAATCCATATGTAAGAAAATTAGTTGTTTTGCCCCCTTTTTTTTTTTTCTTATGAATAATTAGTAGCACCTACGATTCTATTCCCTTTTTATCAACTAACTTTAAACCTAGTTGAATTCTACCGATATTTTAGTCAATTTTCGTGGCTTCATAACGCCGCCGGAGGTGTGATTCAATGGCGAATTTTTCCATTTATAAACCTACATGTCAGTATAAATTAATACGTAATTTTTTTTGTATAGTATATATGTTTTTAAATTAAGGTAAATTTTATAGAATATAAATTTTAAAATTCTAAAAAAATTAAATTAAAAAAATATTTACAATAAGTACAAATAAATAATGAGATTAGCATGATTAGGAGCTGAAATTTTTTAAGAAGTTACTATAAATGAAGTTTCAAGAGTAATTACTTTATTGAGATTTTAGATGAATAAAAATAATTATTTTGAGAAAATTGAGATGAAAAGAAAATAAAAGAATGCTAAATACGATCAAATAAGATCCTATAGCACCTCCCCAAAATTATTAGTAATTATGACGGCTGTGTCCCAAAGTAATAGCTTAATAATGTTGAGGCTTACGTGGACATAAGAGGGTTTAAATCTTGCTGTTATAAATTCCCTGCTATCCTTGTCCAGTCTTCGTCCGCATGACAATTTTTTTAATATTAATTTGAAATATTTAAAAATTTTAAATTTATTTTTACATTTTTTATTATAAAATGCGTTTAAATATATAACTTATTTAAATACTTCGGGATAGTTTAGATATTTTTTTTAAAAAAATTATAAAAAATTAGTATAATAAAAATGACCTATACTTCTTTACTTAAAAAAAAAAATAAAAAATTGTTCGTTTAATTTTTAAAAAATTTGAAGAGATAAATTATTTTTAATTTATAAAAAAATTATTTCTTTTTTATATTTTTTTAATAAAAATTTTCTAAAATTTATATAAACTAGGTTTTATTTAATAATTTTTAAAAATAATAGCTTATATTATACATTTAATAATAAAATTTATTAGGATAAATTAAAATAACTTACTATATAATTTATACTAAAAATCATTTCAAAACAGCTTGTGAAAATAATAAGTTACTTTTATAAAAAAAAGGTTTGTTGAAGTCATAAAAACTTATTTAATAAATTTTTTTAAAACAATAAATTATATCATAAATTTAACGATAAAAAAGAAAGAGTGTGATCTGAACGAAAGAAGAAAGTTAAAAAAATATATATCATCTTTGATTTAATTTATAAGACACCTTCAATGAAATTAAAAATAGTTAAATTAGTTGATTTTTATTTTAAAATGAATATCATGACATGATAATTTCAGTTTTATTTAATACTTTTGAATTTAACTTCATTATCAACTACCTCTTATAAATTTAAATTTCCAGTAATTCTATTTATCAAGAATAAATAAAAATATAATAAATACCTAATAAAAACGATAAAATGTTTGATAAATAGGATAAGCAGTAGAAAATAGGAAGCACATCTTTCTGGAGCATTAAAACGAAGGAACACAAGTGTGTGGCACTAAAGGCTTAACCAAATCGAGCTTTTATTGAATTCGGCGTGATTTTTGTTTGCCCGCATATCACAATTATACATCTCAAAAGGACACAGTAGAAACCTCGTTCTTCAATTTGGACAATGCTACTTATTCACAGGCAAACATCCTCGGTGCGCAGGAGAACGATGTTTTTAGGACACATGCTGTTTTTCATCTTGGTGTGAATTGTGAAAGCCACGTGGACTCGGTAACTCTTGTACACAGAGTAATATTTCTCGTGCATAAACCATTGTTGACATTTGAAGTGTCACAGTTTAATTTGCCAATGAATTGTGTGGCCCAGTGATGACATAGGTTATCTTTACTTACACTCAAGTTCTTCGAGTGTTGCTTACTTGTCGATAAAACATTGACACAAATAAAACGAGCCAAGAGTAGCTTATAAGAAAAGCATTAACATAACAAATGCACGGGCACTGCATTAAAACAAAGTAGCAAGTATAAGTAAAAAAATTTCACATTAAATTGAAATTGAGAAGTTAAAGAAGATACAAGTAATAAAAGTCTAATACTTAATAACCTTATAATTTAAGATAAACGTGATATCTAAAGATGTTATATTTTTTCGTTTTATATGGATAATTACGTGGGTGGAAGAGGAATGGAGATGACTCCTTTTTTACCCCAATACTATCATCGTCAACGTTACACCCTGAAGAGCAATAAGAAGAAAAGCTTGTAAGAGTGTTTTATAGGATCAAATATGTTAGAATCAAATGTGAATTAGTCATGTATAAAACAAGATATGAACAAATTCAAATTTTTTAAAGAGATAGACTAATGTATTTATTATCTTGAAATTTTAGAGTTACATTATAGTGTCTTACCTCTTATGATGCTCTTTATCTAAAACTATCATATTCAACAGTGATATCAGAGTTAAGTCAATTCAAGTGAAGTGACTGAATTAGATAAATAGATAAAGCCACATTAGAAAAAGTACACGGTATTATATTCATGATCAATTTAAGAATGTACTGTAAAAATAAGTCCTAGTAAATTACGACAAAGAGAGTCAACACTATAACACTTATGGTCAATTATGACACTAGATGAACCCTAACAAAGAAAGAACTAGTAGTAACACTCGTGAATAGATAAGTTCATACTTAAGGGGAAGTATTTAGAATTAAATATAAATTAGTTCTACATAAAATAAGATATTGATAAGTTAGGAATCTTTAAAAAGATTAATCAATGTACTTATTATTTTAAAATTTTAAGTTACATTATAATGTTTTACCCCCTTTTGAGGCTCTTTACCTAAAACTACCATACTCAATGAAATATTATACAACATATATATGAACAGCAATTAAGTTGACCACTTTTCCTTTTGTTTTCTTTTCTTTTTGAACATCCATCTTGATGCTTTGTAGGCAGAAGGCTGAACAATAGTCACTGTGTGAGTATCAACACAGTTTGGTAGATATACAGGTTATCTCTTCAA